TTGGACTCAGGTCACGATCAGCGGACTCCCACCAAGAAGCTCTACACCAGACCGATCACCACCTAGGACTGCGGCTGTGGAAGACTGAACTAGAAGATTGAACCTCAAGCTTTGCATGCATTGTGTTTACATCATTGTTTGCACTGCTTGATGCTATGCCTTTGTGTAACTCAGTTAATTAGTTAGGTTTGCATGTATAACGTTATGCCTCTGTTTGTCTTAGTTAATTAGATAGTCAAGTTTGCATTGTTTTATGCCATGCCTTGTTTACCTCTAGTTAAAAGTTGGTAGTAGAATTTATAATTCCAGGTAGGGAGTGTGCTGACCCAGCAGTATATAGCTAGTGTAAGAATTAAGAACTGTCTCCTTTAAGAAACTACCTCATGGGAAATATAGGCAGAGACTGCCTTATGGGAAATGTATTTCCATAACATGTGATCACATTTGTGTTTCCAATTGGCCTCTGGGGTATTCTGCCCAGGTGAAAAGTTTATAGCCGGGCTGCTTAAATGCCTTTGTGAACCTGAGTAGTATTATCTGTATCTCCATTCAACACAGGAATGAAATCATCATCTTTTTACACTATGTGATGGGACAGATCATAGAAGTCAGAAGTATCTTAACACTGAACGGTAAGTTTTGCTATTAATAATGCCTGATACTTTAGGAAGAAATGTCGTGTTACGTCCCATCAAATGATCCATGCAAGGGGGAAAAAACATATGAAAAAAAAATGGATTTTTTTTTTGTTGGTAGATGTACTTGTAGCCTTTGATTAAATTAAAGAAGTACAGTTGGTCTGATTATTTAACAGGTTGTCAATCTATCCCAAGGGAAAAGGGAAGTTGAAAGTATTCTAGCATCAGAAACTGTCGAGCATCAACTTTTGACTTTTGAAAACTGCAGAGCATGAAGTAAAGTTAGGACAATCATTGCAAGAATTGGCGATACAGATCTGCTACATTGGGATGTGCTTCAAATTCACTAAGGGATTACTACTACTTTGGGTTTGGGGATCTTGTTTGGGAATCTCACTCCAGCTTGAAATCATTTACTGAAAAGAGGGCTTAGCAATATCCTTTCAGAACTCAGAGGTAGCCAGACAGGAATCATGGCCAGACAGGCTAACTCTTTTGTAAGGCTATTGTAGTACTACTATTCATACTCTGTTGTAAGGCTGTATTCATAAAATTGTGCATATAATTAAAAAAAAAAGAATGCCTGATAATAAACTTGATCTGAAAGAGATTCCTAAGCGTGGAGTTAACTGCATGCCCCGAGCAACGCCCGAGGAAGAACACAAACTATAAATCAAAAATGGCAATGGCATACAGGGAGAACATATATAAAATGTTCTACAGATGGCATCTACCACCGGCGAGAATTGCAAGAATATTCCTGGAATGTTCACCACTTTGCTGGAAGTGCAGTCAACAACACGGAATGTATTATCATATGTTGTGGATGTGCGCAACTGCAAAAAAATATTTGAAAAAAGCAAAAGACTGGCCGGAAGAGATCACTGCACTTCAAATAGAACCAAAACCAGAAGGAAGACTTGCCTACAACTCAAGAATGGACANATTTTTATCTCTTGGCCACATTTGTATCCTGCTGCAATCCAACTAGATTCACTTAACAACAAACTTACCAACCATAGTGATTCACTTAATGGCAAGGAGGGGCATAAAACGGGGGGAAATTAACCACTGTCTCACTTAGCGACAGAAATCTTGGGCTCAACTGTAGTCGTAAGTCGAGGACCATCTGTATTGATATGGTTATCACTTTGCCACATTTCTATCCAACTCCTTGTATGGGCATAGGTAGTCCTCGACTTACAACAGTTCATTTAGTGACCGCTGGAAATTACAAGGGCACTGAAAGAAGTGCCCTAGGACTGTTTTTCACACTTACAACCATTGCAGCATCCCCGTGTCACGTGATCAAAATTCAGGCACTTTGGCCATGGACTCATACTTACGACGGTCGCCGTGTCCCAGGTCATGTGTGTGATTCCCTTTTGCGACCTTCCAACGAGCAAAGCCAATGGGGTGGTTAAGATTCACTTAACAACTGGGTTACTAACTCAGAAGCTGCAGTGATTCGCTCAGTGGCGAGGAAGGTCGTAAAACGGGACAAAATTAACCATTGTCTCACTCAGCAGCAGAAATTTGGAGCACAGTTTGTGGTCATAGGCTGAGAAATGCTGGGAATTAAAGCCCACCCCTCTTAAAGCAGCCACGTTTGACAAACCAGGATCCAGTCTAAGCCTCGACCCCGTTGCAACGACCGGAAAAGTTTCAAACAATCCAAGATCCAAATAAGCCACGATTCCTTTCAACCTTGCAAGCCGCCATCGCCGGGCAGCATCCCGTATTTTGCAATGCCAACTTGCCAGGTTCAAAAGCCCATCCCTGTCCGGCCCCAACCAGGCGCCCTTGGGGTGAGGGTCGAAGGCTGGATTACAAGCCCCATCATCCACTCTGGGATGATGCTCAACGACCGCGGGGCCAGCTGGGCAGGGACAGGACCCTCCATCGTCCCCAGCCGGCCTTATTCCGCCCCAGGCTCGTATGGCTGGGGACGATGGGCTTTAGAAGGGGCTGGAGAAGGCGACGCCCCCTCCCCGCGGGGGGGGGGATTCCCGCCCCTCCGCCCCTCCCGCGGGCCGACCTTGTTCTTGGCCATGCTGGTCCTCCCTCCGATGCGCGTCTCGTCGCCAGGGCAACCGGGGCTTCTATGGGCGGGGCTTAGTGGGGTGGGTGGAGGGAAGTCACACACCCCGCCCCCTTATTGCATGCCAGCTGGGTGGTCTCTCTCTCTCCCCCCTCACTTCGTCTCTTTTTGCAGAGCGGCGTAATGCCAGGAGAGGGGTGGTCGCAACTTTGGAGTGGGGGGGGGAGAAGCTTCTGCATTTTGGAAGCTTCCTCGGGAGTAACGCTCCGCGCCTACCGGGCATCCAAGCTGCGACCCCCGGACATCTTGCAACACCCCCTCCCCTCCCTCGATCTGCTCCGAAATTTCATCAGAATTGAGCTGGGAGGGACTTCGGAGGTCTTCTAGTCCAGCCCCCTGCTCAAACAGGAGACCCTTATGGAATTACAGAATAAACAGAGTTGGAAGGGACCTTGGAGGTCTTCTAGTCCAACCCCCTGCTCAAGCAGGAGACCCTTATGGAATTACAGAATAAACAGAGTTGGAAGGGACCTTGGAGGTCTTCTAGTCCAACCCCCTGCTCAAGCAGGAGACCCTTATGGAATTACAGAATAAACAGAGTTGGAAGGGACCTTGGAGGTCTTCTAGTCCAACCCCCTGCTCAAGCAGGAGACCCTTATGGAATTACAGAATAAACAGAGTTGGAAGGGACCTTGGAGGTCTTCTAGTCCAACC